TTTTTTTCCCTAAAGCGATTTAAAAAAAAATTATTGCCATTTTTAAAAATATCCCTAGACTTTTCCGATGTGTGTATATATAAGGTACAATTCGGAAAGTCATTGAATCGTAAAGAATACAAGGTCATCGTCATTTCAAAATCTTTGTGAGTTGATATGAAATTGCTATCTATTCTTATGAAATTATAAATATTTATTTCTTGCTCAAGATCGATCAAAAACATCAGTTTATTTTTAATATACTCGTAGTGGCGTGAACTTCAAAAATATTGGGTTTAGGTTTGTTATTTTATCTGATACAATTGTTTTGAAATATTTGAAGGCCCCCAGTGTTTGTTAGTGGACCTACTTTCTCAACAATATATATGTCACAGGAAGTTAGATTGCTAAAAAGAGGTCAATGAGAAACAGAGAAGTATTCTTGAAGAGGATCCACATAGAAGATTCAAATCTGTACAACTATGTCAGTCAGACGAAAAGAAACATTGGTACCCGCCTTGTCGAGCACAAGCGAAGTTGCCGATTGGAACACACCGAGGAGTCTGCAGATTCCTGGGGGGTCCCGCGTCGGTTCGTCGGAGTTGCACTCAGACGGCTAACCGTGTCTGACGAGAAAATGGTTCGACAGAAACTTCTGGTCTCGCGATGTGGCACTGGTGTATTTTCTGCAAGCTGCGCTCGCGCACGTTTTGCCCTCTTCTGCATTTCGATTTCAAAGTTTCCCTAATATGGCTCTGACGAGGAAATAATCAGAGGGAAGGATTCACGGAAATCTAATATTTTTAGTTCACCCTTGCATCGCGAAACTACTTTCCTATCCAAGGCCTACAGTGTGAACTGAGCTAGTTGTTCAGGAACGAGGACCCCAGCGGTTGAACTGCAGCCTAGGATGAGGGCCGCTCGCAGGATAAGGTAGACAGGTATCGAAATCCTGGAAGGTTCCAACGGTTAAGTTGAGTCGTTTGCCCGACGGACGTAACTAATGATGTCTTGACCCTCTCAAATTTAGGCTCGATATACCGCTGCTTCGTTGGCACCGTTTGGTTTCCACAGGGTACCTGAGCAACTTTAGTAGGGTAGGTAGGTAGGTAGGTCTAAAGTAAGTGGGTCTATTCGACCCTCTACCGCAACCCATAAGGGTTTATTCACACTCGTCCAAATGAACCCAGCTTCTTAACGAAGCCGATTATTTTGTATGATAGATATAATAGATAGATACATTTATTTCAACAGAGTATTTTATAATCATTCACAGGAGTGGCAGAAAATTTTTGTCTGAGAAATACGTCAAAAGGAAAATTGTAAAGATATGAAATATGTGTAAAATATGAGAGAAATTATGAAAGCCTGCTCGGGCAAGGACAGAAAGATAGCCATGTTCAGCGCCACCTACAAACCTATCGTGGCGAAATGGTGTGTTCATAACATGAAAGGATTAGTCAGAGTGACTGTAGGACAGAGAAACGCTGCAACTGACCTGGTGGATCAGGAGCTTCTATTTGTGGGGAATGAACAAGGGAAACTGTTGGCTTTCAGGGATTTGGTGACGAAAGGACTAAGTCCCCCTGTTCTCGTGTTTGTCCAGAGCAAAGAAAGAGTCCAGCAGTTATTCAATGAGCTCATATATGATAGCATTAATATCGATGCAATTCATGCGAATAGGACTCAGTTACAGAGGGATAACACCGTGAGGAGCTTTCGTGAAGGTCGTATCTGGGTGTTGATTTGCACTGAGCTCATGGCACGTGGTATTGACTTCAAAGGTGTCAATCTGGTTATAAATTATGATTTTCCTCCTTCTGCCATTTCATACGTACATAGGGTAGGGAGAGCAGGTAGAGCAGGCCGAAGAGGAAAGGCAGTCACTTTTTTCACTACAGAAGACACCGCTAATTTGAGAAGGTAAGTCAGCATATTCGGTGTTAGTTGATAGAACACTGCGCTATTTGGTTGGTGAAGCGCGCATCGACAAGGGTGTTGCAGTTCTGGTGTTTGGGGAAAGTGCTTGTTCTGAATCCATTCTACATCGTTAACATAAGCTTTTATGGCTTATGGCCAATATCGCTGTTGATAAAAATATGAAGTGATCCAGTAATTGAAAAAAAAAAGTAAAATTTTGTTTGTTCATTTTATTGGAAAAAATACTTGAAAAATGTCATCCATCTTACAAAAAATCTGTTTCATTTCAGTATAGCTCACGTTCTGAAAGACTCTGGGTGTGACGTACCTCCTTACATGTTGACAATGAAGAAAGTTGCCAGGAAAGTCAGGAAACAGCTAGAGATAAGCGCCCCCAAGAGAGATGATATAACAACTAAACCTCTATTCGACAGAATAAAAGGAGGAAAAAAGTAAGGTTGATTAAGTAACATCAAATCTTATGGTTGATTTTGATGTGACAATATTAAATTGGTCGCTGGAAAGGTTTTTCAATTCTGATGTTAGGTTTGTTAGATTTTTAGATTTTGACCAAAGAAATAGAATTATATACTAATCTTATTGTGCGAAAGGATAAGATAAGGCGTAGCATATTTTTATGAATCAGGAAAGGCAAAATCTATCTATTATCAACGATCAATTAAACTGGCCCAGCCACATATATTATGTACTTCGCAAGCTCTCTAGAGTTTTATTTGTTCTAAGACAACTCAAACCAGTAACCAATCTCAAGGTATTGATTATACCTTACTTCTCTATACTTCCTTCTGTACTATCATATGGTATTCTACTTTGGGGCAAATCAAAAACAGAAAACAATAACAACAACACTGTTCCGAACCAGAAAACTGTACACACCTCAGCAATATTTGATGCTTTATAAAGCTCAGATCAGACCTTCTTTGGAGTATTCTTTTCAAGTTTGGAGCTCCGCCCCTAAGCATATCCTGAAGCTGCTGGATTCTATCCAGAGGAGAGCCATCCGCCTGATTGGAGACGCAAACATTGCTTGCAACCTTGACAGTCTGGAACATCGAACAAAGGTTCGAGATTTGTCTCTCTTCTATAGATACTTTTTCACGAGAAGTGTTCAAGTGACTTGACACATTTGATTGTGGATTGTGGCTGCTCATCGTTTTGAGGTTCAACTCAGTACACCTCAGTACACAAGAACTGGAGAACTGAGTTTATTTGGGAATAACTTCCTGAGAACGTTTTTCCAAATGGATTCAATCTCCAGCGATTCAAATCCAATGTGAATCACTACTTTCATACAGGCATCGCTCTTAGAGAGCCTTGAGGATTTTCTTGTAGTGCTTGTGTTTTAAACTTGAAAAAAAAGAAAAAAGTCATTCGTATTTTAGCAAATATAGGATACATAGATCACTGTCTTCAACACTTTATTTAGTTTGATATTATGCCAGTGCCTTCATTATTCATACATTGTTTTGTTGAAGATACATAAAATCATAAACACTCTGATATACATCAATATAACAGCCGCCAATTAGTTTTTGGGCGCCCCCATGCAAAAATTCAGTTAGGAATAGTCAGATAAAACATTTTTTACCGATCGCGAAAGAATAGCACCTGAAGGCTGACTTTCGACCAAAAGAGGTCAGATGTCAATCTTGCTGAAGTGTCCATCAGTAAGTTGAAGACCGTTCGGAGAGCGGGGGTGGATGGAGTGGGGTAGTAGGTTCTCCTCGCTAAATAGCTGGGGTGGGAAGTTTCTACTTCAGGGCACTCAACCCGGGAGGGGGCATGGGAAAAAAAACATCAATATAACAAAATCTCCAGATCTGTTGAATCTCCAAAGGCACAGAGTAGTTATTAGCAACAAAAATTCTCTGAACCTAAATTTGTATAATATTTTTGATAAATCGGTGAAAACATTGGAATTTAATGAATTCCAAACAGTCATCAAAAAATTTCTCCTCGATTTCGCTGCCACACGCTTCATGTACAAAATTTTTGAAAAAATTATGTGGCATGAGCCAAGCGATAAGCCGACATCCTCAGCAACTTTAATAGTGATTTAACGATTCTCTAGGGTGAGAGTCGTCATTCACATCTTCTCGACCTTCTGTGAAAAGCTTGTACATCAAGTCGACATCAAGCCATTCTTACTCGCCTCAGAATCGGACACACAAGACTAACACACCAACACCTTACGAAGAAAGAATATGCTGCGGAGTGTGATATTTGTGGTGTAATCAACAGTGTGAAACACATTATCCTGCAGTGCCCAGTTTTTGAATATGAAAGACAAGAAGCAAGACTTCCCAGTGATGTTAATTCTGCCCTAGATGTGGTGAACTTGAACTCTTCAGTAACCTTTTTGAAATCTATTCATATATTGGTCGTTCGGTAGCCAAGCGGTTCGGCGTGGGTGCTTTGTTCACTCACTTGAATTGACTGCCGTGTTGGTTGGTGGTTCAAGCCCTAGTCTGAACGATCGATCTTCACTTGCTATCGTCCAACCCGTGTTAGGAATCACACGTTAAAAGGTAAGACCTCGTTAATCCTTAGCTCGCACAAGTTTCGACTTCTGAGGGTTGTCGTTCGTATGGGTGCGACAGCTGGTTAATGGAAAACAGATTTTAAACAGATTTTTAAACAGATTACATAAAATATAATTATATCTAATTGTTCCTCCGCTAATAACCCTTCGCGGTTGATGCGGTTATTTAAAAAAAAAGCTTGTACCACTTTTATAGATTTTTCTAACTGAGAACAATCACCGTGTGCCATTGTCAACATTTCAAGTGTTTTTGAGCACTTGATTCAATTTTTCATACAAAATTTGATACAAATTCTTTGATCCATTTTTTTGATGCCAGAAAATCGCCGATCACGTAAAACACTTCTTACTTTTATGCCCTTTCGAAGCTTGAAACCAAACAGTTGTTGCACTACAGTAGGAATGAACTAAGATGTCTAACAGGCCTTCTCACAAGTCACTGTCGTCTGAATCATCATATGCAGAGACTCGGGCTATCGGAAGACAGTGTGTGTCGCCTCCGCTTGGAAAATGATTGAACATCAGAGCACATACTTTGTGCCTGTCCCACTGCGGACTGAATCAGGTTTTTAGAGTCTGCCATAGCCGCACTCGTTCCATCTGACCTGAAAGATCACTTACCATAAACTAATCGGCTTCGTCAGGAAGCTGAGTTTATTTGGCCGAGTGTAAATAGGTGTGAGCCACAATAAACCCTTGCGGGTTGCAGTGGATGGTCGAATGGACCCACTAACTTTTGACTTAACCTAACCTTCTTTTATGCCTCTCACCAACAAATTGAATAGCTGTTTAGACAAGTGTTATATGTTTAAGACAAGTGTAGCAACATAAAAAAACTCATCTAATGTACGTAGCCTGCGAAATTCTAATATTCACCTTATTTTTTGAACAGACCTCGTATCTATTGAAAACATTACAAGTTAATATCATCAGGAAATTACTAAGGCTCAGAGTCTCAACTGTCCCCTGATGATGTTTACTTGGTTGATGAAATGCACATAGAGACTACTCTCTGCACATAGAGACTACTACTCCCCTGGCTAATACCACCCAGTCAGGGGAGCAGTTGTTTTCTGATAGGCGTCAGTCCATTCAATATACTGTGTAGGTATATTCGAGACTGGTTTGAATATTTAAAGTTCATTTCTTTAGATTTGTTATGTTTTTCTTGTATTTGTAGAAACGCTGCAACTGACATGGTGGATCAGGAGCTTCTATTTGTGGGGAATGAACAAGGGAAACTGTTGGCTTTCAGGGATTTGGTGAGGAAAGGACTGAGTCCCCCTGTTCTCGTGTTTGTCCAAAGCAAAGAAAGAGCCCAGCAGTTATTTAATGAGCTCATATATGATAGCATAAACGTCGATGCAATTCACGCGGATAGGACTCAGTTACAGGTAAATATGATTTTATGTATTGGGTAATTTTGGTAGGTTCATTACGTGGGAACATGTTCAGATCATTAAAATAGAGTATGAATAGCTTAGGATCTAGTGTGGTACACCTATTGTTATCTCAGTGATAGAACTTAAGACAATGTTACTTTCATTTGGTAACAATGTGTTATCTGAAAATTTATTATGTTGAGTTGAAGCTAATTTTGATATATATTTTTTGAGACAATTCTTTCATATTTTCATATTCTACAGACAGAACCTAAAATAATGGGAAACACACTTGATATAGATAAACTCAAGAAAATAATGACAAACTTATACATTAAAAGTTTTAATGTATAAGTTTGAAAATGTCCGTATAGGACGAAACTGCAGTAACGTTAGTTACACATAAAAGTGGTAAAAAACAGAAAGTTTCAATTCTCATTTATCATCAAGAAAATACATATTTTACAGTAGGATCCGGCATATGCCTGCTGGAAAAAGTAATTGCCTGGCTCATGCCACAATGCAAGCAAGTTTTCTCACGTAGAAAATTCCTGCAGTGCAGTAGCAGGTCCTTGCTGAAACTGTTCGATTGAACCATTTGGAGAATTACTCCTCAATACTCAAATGATTTCATCGGGATTCCACCAGTAATACTTAATCCTCATCTGTGAATGGAAACTCAAGGAGGTTGACCAGTTACTCTATGAAAACGCCAAACATTTTACCGATGAGTAGCAGATATACTGTCCGACACAAATAAAGGCTGTGGCTCAACTGAGAAGGCTAGGGTTATCCAACCAGATGGAATGTAGAGGGGGATGTCAGACGCATCAGCAATATCACGCTTGGCGTTGAAGCTCGCACCATTTCTCTCACAGAAAACTCAACAGTCTGTTTGAGTTTTGGCACAAGAGATGCCTTTTCCGTTTGGTACTTAGTTATCGAGATGAAGCTTAACTATTAGTAGTTGAAATACCTGGAGCCTCAGACAAAAGTTTCATATTTGTTGTGGGATCAATCGATTATCAAACAACAATGCTGTGTCAGATAGATCTCATCACCGATAAAGAGTAATGTTTTGTGAGGCAACTTGAAAAAATTTCTGTCGGAGATATTTCAGTGTCGTGGTATTAGCAAAGAAAATAGGTATCTTCTGGCAGATATTCGCCAAATTCGACTGTAGGAACGTTGGGTTCAAATTTTTATTTGAAATGTGGCGTTTGTATCTCTCCTCAACATAGT